TTAGGATCAAGATTATCTCTATCATTAGAGTTTACATGCACATAAGCAACACAACCAAAAAAATTCAGATGTGAGAGACTTACCTCCTTTCCTGTCCATACCTCCTCAGGAATTTTAAAATCTAGCGGTACAGAGGGTCCCATGTTTATGAGATAAGCTGTCGTGTTAACAGCCTCAGCCCAAAAATATTTCGGCAATCCAGAATGTATTCTCATACTCTTGGCTCGTTAATTCAGGGTTCTATTCATCCTCTCAGCAACGTCATTTTGTTCCGGTGTTCCAGGAACTGTCTTGATCATTCTGATCACATTCTCAGAGCAGAATGCTTTAAACTCTTGACTATCATACTCTCCTCCATTGTCAGACTTCAGACATTTTAACTTTAGATTTGTCTGATTTTCAACTTCAGCTTTCCATTTTGTTTCCCGTAAATGCAATCTTCACACAAACCTAATTCAATATGCTTTAGGTTTGGCAACTTTTCTTTGGATGCCAACAACTTCATTCCCTTCTCACTCATATGCCCGAGCCTCCGGTGCCACAATGTTGTATCACGACCATGATCAACAGTTGCTATAGTATCTCTTTGTATTGCAGTTGCATACAGTGTTCCCTTCTTGAAGCCTCGTGCCACAACCAAATTACCTTTGGTTATCTTCCACGATCCGTTATCGAATGTTGTTGTATATCCTTCACTGTCAATCTGACCCATAGATATCAGATTTTTCTTGAGGCTAGGAACATGTCGGACATTTTGTAATTTCCACAACGTGCCTTGTGAAGTCTTTATATGAACTTCACCTTTCCCAACAATGTCTAGAGGTTCGCCGTCTGCTAGATAAACCTTCCCGAATTTTCCAGTAATATAATTATGCAATAATTCTTTGCATGATGTAGAATGAAAGGGTGCACCTGAGTCCAGAATCCAAGATTTGACTGGACTGTTTGTACAACAAATTAGTGCATCACCCAATTGTTCAGCAATTGCATTTGCTGAATTATCATCCTTGTATTGATCGTTCTTCTTCTTCTTTGGCTCTCTACACTGACTACTATAGTGAGCCATTTTATCGCAATTCCAATACGTAATGTCTTTGCGATTTTTGGATTGCCCTCTTCTCCTTGACTTTGATATGCCACGACCATGACTTTGTCCTTTTTGGTTGCTTCTCTCCCTGTTTTCGATATTAAAAGCATATCCTGGGGAATTACTTGATTCTCTTCGACGAATGTCTTCGCTTAGAATCAAGTCTCTAATATCATCCAATTTGAGTTTGGTACTTCCCGATGAACTGCTAACTACAGTTACTGTTGCAGACCAACTCTCCAGTAGAGATGATAGTAGAATCAATGCCCTGACTTCGTCATCGAATGTTATATTAACAGAACTACTGAGTTAATATTACATTAAACTCATTGATATGTTTCGTAACAGATTCACCTTCTGTCATCTTTAAGTTGAACAATCGATGCATCAAATAGACTTTATTTGAAGCAGATGGCTTCTCGTACATATTTGATAACACCTTCATCAGGCATGCAGTGGTCTTCTCGCTAATAATGTTAAACGCCACATTTCGTGTTAGCGTCAAACAAATCACACCAAGAGCTTGGCGATCTAATAGATCACAATCCGCTTTGGTCTCTGGTTTTACCTCGGTCAGAGGTAAGTGTAATTTTTTTTTTGTACAAATAATCCTCTATTTGCATTTTCCAGAATCCAAAATCTTTGTCATTGAACTTGTCAATCTTAACCTTTCCTTATTCTGATGCCATTTTTCACAAAAAAAATAATATGAATAGTGCCTGTGAATAGTAACAATGATCAATAGTGTCACACCATTCTTGTGAATAGCACCTGCACCGGTACCGTACTTTTCTACCAGAATTACAATGTCTGTGCTATAATACCAGTTGTTGGGAAATATGTCAGGTTAATAGAAGTAAAAATATTTGAAAGATAAGCAATAAATTGCACAAGACAAGACAAGATTTACGTGGTTCGGCAATTTTGTCTACTCCACGGTCACACAAAGAATAACTCTTTATTAATTGAAGAGAGAAAGAAGAAGTTGATAGATGATTTGCAAAAAAAAATACATACCCCTTTTATAGGCATTTAAATGCCCTGCCAAGGTAAGCGCTTACTCATAGGAATGCCGGTGTAAGCGCTTACATTATACGAATGTCAATGTAAGCGCATACATCATAAGAATGCGATATAAGCGCTTACATCATAAGTTCATCTCTTTTTTATTTTTCTTTCTTTTGTTTTGTCTTTTCTTTCTTTCACATATAACAACAAGTTTGTTACTATCATTTACCACCTATTGTTTTGCAACTTAATCTTATATCCACTGCTTTGCAAGTTTATAGAGCCACTATAGAACTAATTGTCCCAACCATCTTTCAGCGCACAAAAGCTACATAACTTGCCTATGGTGAGACAGGTCAGCTGTATTTCTTCGCATGCTTGATTCACCTTTTTCTTTCAGAAAGTTGCTTATTATTATCTTGTATTTTCTGCTTCAGGATATGAGGCGGCAGTCAAATAAAATTAGGGAGGCAACGGTAATACCTATTATTGTGCCACAACTACTAGACGCCATTGTGAGTTTGATCTATTCCTGTATTTTTGGATTGAGACCTTTTTATGCGGATGTAAGAATGCTCTTTTCTTGATTTTCTACAATGATTTTCTTTTTAATTTGAGACAAAAATAATGCTCTTGGTAATCTTTCGGTTCCAACTAGTTTATTTTTCATACATTGCATCTTTTAAGAATACACTGCATGTAGATAGCTAATTGTTGAACCACCTAAGTTTCAAATCTTTTTTTCTAAATCAGAAAATTAATTTTTGCTCACTTTTTTTATTGTCTTTCACTTGGTAAGTATATGTCTAATTCATATATGGTAATTCTGTAACATGCTTTTCATTTAGATTTTTTGCACTCATTGACTTATGAGATATTTGACAACGAAACCTTGGTAATTTATAGTTTAATCAATAAGCAAGATTTCTTAGTTACATATCTTTTTATGCAGAAATTTCTTTCTATCACAATGTGAAGTAAACTGCTTCATGGCTCTCAAATACGGACTAATCGACCTCTTCTTTGGAATGGAGTGAATACAGTATCATTCTCATATAAAGATATACTCTTGGCCAAATTTTGTTGCCCCTTTTTTAATTTTTGTCAAGTCGTAAATGTAGCATTCATGATGAGTAAAATAAAATTTAACTTTCATGGTCTGTCAAATGTCTGAATAGGTTTGAGCTTTTACAAAGCAATTTAAAATTTATTTGGACCTGACTGGAAATTATCAAATTTTTTGTGTTAACTTAAATTGTTCTCATGAAAATATTATAACACTTTTAATCAGCTCTGAAGGTATTAAATTTTAACTTTTTAAGTGCCTAAGTGGTTATCAGACACCTCCTTTGCTAAAGTTTAAAAACCACTGTAATGTCTAATTTTTATCGCTTTTTCTTATTATAAATTCATGATGAAATGTTTAATTGAAAATAGAAGCCATAGATTCTTAGTGGTGATCATTTTCAATAAGTTATTGACATATTAGGCCCATTTTTTTTTTACTTTACTTGAGCAATTTAATGGGTCTTACTGTTATTGAAGAAAAAATGGGTTTTAGTATTTATTCCTACCATTCTTTGTTGGATAATTTTCTTTCTTAAGTATCAGCTGAGGTCACTCCATACATATATTCACTTTTTAAGAAAAACCATTACAAGAACCTTCTCTGCCATTAACAATGAACTGCGACATGAATATTGTTCCGATATCATAACAGAATAAACGATTGGGAAGACAATTGTAAATCTTTCATTATTTGGTGAAGATTCATCTTCTAATGTTGTTTACAAGACGAAATATGAGAGATGAAATGGACTTTACTTATGTCGAGTGTTTCCTGTATACATTTCAACATTTTGACGAGAAGGTACATCTTCTTTTCATTTGATGTACCAATGGATAGAAGTGGTTCTTATCCATTTTAAACCTTATAATTAATGAACTTGAAAACTCTAATGATGATAATTCAAGTCAGTTGGTTGATTTATTAACAAATGTAGAAGCATACTTTAAGTCCTAATGGATTTGTAAGATTACTTTTTGGGTATATCTTTAATTTTCTTTTTATCACGTATGTTGGACTGATTTTTGTAAAAGGAAGTGGAAAGCCGCTGAACAAATGATGCGTGCTTTTTCAGGTGTTGTTACTCGCTTAAAAATTGAACATTTTGAGGTTAATTTTTCTTTTCTTTTGCTGCCAGGTTTTTCACTCAAGATAAACGATGCCTTATTCTTCAAGTGTTGTTATTCACAAGAAGTTGAATTTTTGTGGCTTTCAAGTATGTGAAATCAATTGCCAGTAGCCACTTTGGTTTTTTTTTAATTCATTTTCTTGTGTAGTCCATAAATCCAATCAATAATTTTGTACGTAGAGAAAGCTTACAAATAATTATAGACTCCAATGTGAAGCTCAATTTGTTCGACATAGTGTTGCGAAGGGAACCAAGTGGTTCAAAATATGTGCGTGAGATTGTAATTGGGTCTTTGGCTGCTTTGGTGTGAGATGGATTGAAAAACTGAAGCAAGCAATAAAAATTGAGTTCAAGCATCTTGTGTTCAAGGACAATTATGATACTAGTATAGGATACCATTATTCCTTCAGGCATATTTTTAATCAGTTTTATATAAAAGGTATATTTTTGTTCACTTCAAATAATTATTTTTCTCTGGACAGAGCAGACATTATCTTTTTTCCTTTCGTTCTTTGTTTGCCCCAGAACATGGGAGATTAAGGAGAAGATTAGTACAACTGGTGAAACAATAACTCCTTCCCCGAGGAGATAGATTCAATTGCAAAACAAAGTGTTCAAGAATAGAGCAAAAGTGCAGCAAGCTATGTTATGGAAGAAGTTGCTTAAGTTAAAAATGTTACCGTGAAAACAGGGAAAGATGGAATGGCATATGCAAGGAAAGTAACTAAAGCATTGAAGCAAAAGGCAATAGTTGCTGGCTTGGTTTGACAAATAAACTAACAGATTGAAACTAAATAATACTAATATATTGAGATAACATTACAATCTTAAAGAGAAGAAGAGTGTTCGAATCATAACGAGCGTTTTAACTAGCAATAGAGTTATATTTAACTGAGGAGTGAGGAACGATAGGTTGTAGCAAACGGTTGCTAGTACTTTTGAGGTGGTTTTTGGGTTGGAAGCAAGCCGAAACGCTTCTTGAGAAGCACTCTTTGCCTTGAATATTTATCATCTGGTGAAAACCGGGCTGCAAAATAGAGAAGTTAAATATCAGTTACAGAAGAATTGGCATTATCTAATATCATACCAGCATAAAGTCACAATTGAACTTCCAAATACTCTTTTTCAACTTCAACTTCAAATACTTGTTTTCCAACTTCAACCAAATTTTGTCCAGACGGGCACCACACACAAACATGCAAACGCCAATCAGGAGAGAGAGAGAGAGAGAGAGAGAGAGAGAGAGAGAGAGAGAGAGAGAGAGAGAGAGAGAGATTATAAATTTACCTGGGTGAGCAGATTGTGTGGCCAATCCTAGTGGTGATTCTTTCTGCATGTATAAAACCAACAGAGGTCAGGTCTCGAGACATGAAATTTAGGAGACTAGCGCCAATTTTGCTAATAGACAAACAGAATCTATAAAAGTGAGGTTCTGGCAAGGCAAAAAGGACCAAGCATAAAATGATGAAATATGACGACCAACACTCACAGACGAGAAGCAGAGCAATTTTTCATGCTTAATGCAAATTTGCAGCTTGTTAGATGGAAGGTATAGTAGTGCCATAATTTGTTACTATTCTTCTTATTCACAATGTTTATAAATGTATTAAGGTGTTGCAAACTCATTTATCTTTAATAAGTCAAGGGCTCTTTTGACGTAAGAAGTTACATGTACACAGGCTATTATCAGCTGAATTTTGAACAATAATTACTGAATTACGAAATTCCTTGATCAATCAAATTGTAAATGAATACTGCAACATTCAATATGTTTCAGCAAATCTCCCTCGCCAACATCTAACTTCCCAGAACTAGAACTACAACACATAAGTTTTTGCTTGATATCACTTCCAAGAGGCTACACGCTCTGTGATATAAATAAGTCACAAAACTAGTTGAAGCTGCCTAAGAGGTGTCCCCATCTGGCGTCTGCAAAGAGGAATTGCTGGTCACAATCTTTAGCTGGCCAACCTCTATTAGATCCAGAAAATACTGGATTGGCCTGTTTTTATTGTCTTTGACAACAGGTTTCAGATCATATAATTATTTTACTAACAGATCTCCCATATTTTAATAAATGGAGTACTACATTTAGTAAAAGCAGCAAAATGTTTTCAGGAAGCTAGCAGTAATTGCTTCCTATTTGATTTTTATCATCTGTGAGTAATAGTGAACTAACATTCTTGAAATGTTAAGGGAGATTGTAAATAAGCTAAAAGCGAGCAAGGAAGTTGCTTTGAGGGGTTGAGTTTTAATTTCAAGGTTTTGATCTGAAATAAAAAGTTAACCAACAGATTACAAAAGGAAACAAAAATATACCTGTTAATAATAGAAAACATACATTATAATAAGGCGACCAATCTTAAATTAGTAACAAATGAAAAATAATAATGAACAAAAGTATGTTAAAAACTCCCTCCATCTGAAAACAGAATGGCATTCTTACTGTTTAGAGATCACAAGCTTTTTCTTTGACTGCCATATTTCCAATAGTATTTGAATATAGCTGACCACAAAAATTTTACTTTATACTAGTTCCTATTTATGTATTCCTTAAATATACAAATACTATTTAAATTTTAAGAAATACATTTTAAAAAAAGAACGTGGTGCGATGAATAACTAGAAGTCTCGGGTTCGAGACTTGAAAATGAAAAAATTCCTCATAGGGTGTGCTTCCCCCTTAAATGAGGCCTACGCCCCACGAATCCGGATTAGTCGAGCCAATTATTATGGAATGATTAAACCAAAAAAAAAAGATGTCCACTATTTCAGATAAAAACAACAAGCCCGGTGAAATCACACAAGTGGAGTCCGTACTCCGGAGAGGGTAAAGTGTAACTTAAGTTGTTTCTGAAAGACCATCGGCTCAACAGAAGTGAAAATGAAGTAATAAAAAGACAGATAGCAGGAGAAAAAAAAATAAAGATTTACATACTTCATTATTCACTTCCTATAACCCAGTCAAATCATAAAGGAAAAGCAAAATCATATGCTGAATAAGATGCTTAAAAAGACGAAATTTTCAAGAATTCATACCTTAGTGGTGTAAACTTTGTCACCATTTTCGTTAATGTAAAACTGAAGATACATCTTTGCTTATCTCTTCACCTGTCTAAAAAAGAGGCAAAAACAAAAGGGTATTAAATAGCATGTAAAAATGAAAAATAGCAAAAACCCATTTGGATATGAAGAAGAAAGATTCAGTTTTTAGGGTTTTGAGAAACTAAAACCTTAGCAAAGTGTTTTGGAAACGGAAGTGTAAGCCAGTGACTGATGAATATGCAGAGCAGACATTAGGGTTCCAAATAAAAGAGCTAAAATAACAAGGGCATAATAGGAATAATAAATTAAAAGGAGGGCAAATAAGTCATTATGTTTTTTTTTTTTAATTCACTCATAATTTCATGTGGAGAAAATGTCCAAAGTAGTCCACTATCTTTGAGTTTAGGCGCAAACGCATCTAAATGTTTTTTTACTTAGAGCACTTATAGTCCACAATGTTTGTTGAAGTGGTGCATTTTTAATCATACCACAAGTCTTCCCTTAATTAATACGAGTGTTAACAATTTAAGAAAAAAGTATTTAAAGACATAATGTTCTTAAAGTATGTAATCGATACGTTACATTTGTTGTATTATAATACTTACATTTTCATTCATTAAATAATACTAATACGCATAATAATAAATCTTATATAATTAACACACTAACGAAATAACTCATTAGCACGTAGAAGGTGAATAACACAAAGCATAAAACAAGGTATAGGACAGAACTTTTCACATTAGAACCAAAATCATAGTCAATATTACAATGTTTACTCATCTTATTTTTATTAGTACTTTTTTTGGGTTTTATCAAGTCTCACACCGTTTTAGCAGTAAATGTTGAATGTTGGGCCGCTAAAGTTAAATATATCTACTAGATGAGTATTACAAAAATATGAATGCTAATATGAATGTACGGTAGATATAAGATTAGATAAGATTTAAAACAATCACGCCTGCTAGAAGGTGCAAGTAGTACGTGTTAGAATCGAGAACCTGGGTAGTGCGAAATTTAGCCAAACAACATTATAATGATAATAACAAAGACAATGCAAGTTGATAATAACGGCAATTAAAGTAGATAAAGAAGACACTAATTTAACGTGGTTCGGTCAGTGTGACCTACGTCCACAAGCGCAGAGGGACAATTTTACTATACCAATAAGAGTACAGAAGAGAGTACAAAATTAGAGTAAATACTCTAATTAATCTCAAATACCCTAAGAGAATAACATCACAAGATCACTCCAAAGAAAGGGTTCACACAAGTGTTTCTCAACACTCAACTCTCATACAAAACAGTTTTAATAAAGGAGGAAAGGGAGAAACAAGAAATGAAGACTCAAATCTTGTTTGTGTGTTTAAAATGAACTAATATCCTTTCCTTTTATAGGCAAAAAAGTATTGGCCTCTTAGTTGTAAAAGAAAAGATACAACTTGTGCAAATGATATTCACCCCACAATGCAATATTTTTGGGTCCCAAAGAATATTGCCAACAAAATCTACACTTTGCAAATATGCTTATGCTTATGTGAGATGGACTTCATTAGCCAAAATATTGATCATATTGCAAATCTCCACCTTGGCCTAATTTTGGCTAATATAGTAAATTTGCTTCACCCTCTCCGCAAAAGCCCGAATAGGCATATATCAAAATTTAAGGCCATCAAAATCAGACAAGTTGTCTGATTCCGAAACTGTAGTAGGGGATATAACAGTGGATCCCAATAAAGTATACAACGAACCAGATCTGTGTGTTTTCTCGATCACATGAGCATCTTGAAAATATTTCACAACTCTACTTTCACTAGTGAATTTGCACCAAAGGGATTCTAAAGTACCCAAAGATATGACATTTTTCTTCAACTCAGGAACATATCTAACATCGGTGAGAGTTTTTACCACACCATCGTGCATTCTTATCCGAATTGTACCTTTGCCAATAACGTTACAAGTAACATTATTACCCGATTAGATAATTCCACCTGCAACTGAATCATATGTAGAAAACAAGTTCCTGCTATGACACATATGATATGAACAACCGGAATCTAAAATTCACTCATTGTTTGATCTGAAACTAGTTTCAGTTGGCTAAAAATATAGTTCCCTCAATCTCATCAGTTGCTACACTAGCTTCAGCGGTGTCAGTATTTTTGTGCTTATTTTTTCTTTCTTTATGCTTTTCTTTATTTTTCAGTTTATAACATTCAGAGATAATATGACATTTTTTATGACAATAGCGACACTCTAAATTATTATATCTGGATATGGATCGGATTTGCCCCTAACAAACAAGCCAAATTCCGCTTGAGTTCCACTAGCTTCCCCAGTAATATTACTATCTATCTGTTCTTTTGATTTTAAGATAAATTTAATATCCTTATAAGAGATATTATCATTTGCATAAAATATAGTATCTCTTATATGCTTAAAAGATGGGGGTAGAGAACAAAGCAGTAACACGACTTTGTGAGCATCTAACTTTTGACCGTGCTTGAATTTTCCTCACTCATCTCACCAATACCTCACTTCTTACTCCATCTTTCCCGCTCCCATCTTTCCACGTGTGTCCCCACTCTACTTTTTTTTGCTCCCCACTCCACTTTCCCTTATCCCCCACTCCTTATCCACCATGTTTGTCCCATATGCTTGTCCCCAATCACACACCCCACATGTCCCTCTTTCAGAAAACACACACACACACACACGAAAAAGAGGGGTTGAAAACAAAAGGAGTGAGGAGAAAAATAGGGGTGCCCTTTTCTTCTTAAAAAGCCAAAACGCAACAGCTGAGTCTGCCATGAGACTACCATAAAATTTCCATTAAAAATACCTCATCAACTATCAAAGTTTCATGGATCTTCCCTCCATCTTTAGCTCCAAAAGTAGCTGAAAAATAGCCCTTTTTCCATCAAAAAAATCAGCTGCGAAAATAGCCAAAAAGCGATAAAAACCAGTCCGAATCCCAGCCCCGAAACACCCGTAAAAAACCCACGAAACATCCATCAAGATCAAGCCAAAACGCGGCTGAAATTGCTGCCAAAACGCAGCAACACTTACCCATTTAAAACACGCGAGTTTCAGTCGAGGGAGGCAAGTTCGTTGTTTCGTTTTGTTTGATGATCCAGTCCACTGTCAAGTTTGGTTAGTTTTCTTCCTTGTAACCCAACACTCGAGGATCTTTATTAATATAGTGAAAAGCTCTGCTCAACAGAGGTCACTTTCTTTTTTGATTCACTTTTGATTTAATATCACGTTCTTGTTTAATCTTTTAGTGCTTTGTTTTGTTTAAATGTCTTTGGTAGTTTATTAAATTATTTTGTTGCATACGGTTGTTCAAGAACATCACTAGAATTTGTATGAGTTAAGATTTATATTAATGTGTTTACTTGATGGGTGAAAGTTACTGATTTACATATTTCATCGCACTATTGAATTTCTTTTGTAGGTAAAATAACTACTGAAAAAAAATGAATGAATAAAGGGATTTCTAGTAAGCTCTAATCAAATAGGTTGTGGTTGTTCTGTTTGTTTTTTTCTTTTTCTTTTTCTTATTCTGTAAGCATATAGTTTTGGTTTAAGTTTTATACATGTAAAATGGGGAACATTCGAAGAAGACAGTAGTTAAGTTGGTATTGTGCCTTGTGATTTGTGGTGTATCAATATGGGTCATAGGTTTGCTTGGTGAAAATTAAAAGGTTGCTTAGTTAACATTTGTTTTAGTTCATATAGTATGCCATGAATGTAATTTGATTAGCTAGTTGGATTTTTAGAGATGTTTGATTATGTTTGGAGTAGTTTGGGACTGATGGGATTCAAGAAGATTTAGCCTTTTGTCTACATTTATTTCATAATTATAATAGTCAAATCTTACCCCTTCCACAATGACCTCCATAAAAACTCGGCCTTAATCTCAAACTAGTTTAGGAAAATAACTCATAAATATCTCTAGTATGCTTTAGGCACACAGTAATAAATCAATTATTGTGATTATATATACATTCACGTGACATAATTACGATTTTCAAAGTTAAAGGCAAGGTATGCGTTCGCGCAACTTTGACAGAACAATTTTAATAATAATAAAAGTGTTATCAATTGTATACACACATGCGTGGCATGATTTTTAATGCGCCAAAAAAAGGGTACACGTACGCGTGACTCGTTTCAAGATAATTCCTTAATTATGAATAATCAAGCAATAAAAGCGGATAAATAAAAATATAGAAACCAATAAATCACAGTTTGTCCAAAAAAAATATGCCAAATGTAGTCAATAAAGTGTCACGACCCAAAATTCATTAAAGGTCGTGATGGCGCCGGACATTGCTGTCAGGCAAGCCAACACTATATAATTAATTAAATCCTCTTTTAGTATTTTTGAAATCAAATTTTCTTTAATGAAATAATAAAGATAGAACTCATAGAGTAAATGATAAATATTTTTAGCAACTAAATTTCTAAACAATTCACAACTATTCCCAAAACCCGGTGTCACAAGTGCATGAGCATTTACTAGGAAATAAAAAATAAAATACAGCATATGTCTAGAATGCAAATTAGACTAGAAAATATAATAACTCTGAAGGAGACTCTGTTGGTTGCGGATCGTAATACAGAATGCAGCTCATCTATGCCCCCACAATTATTAACCAACTTTTATGCCCACAAGGCCGCTAGACATATATGTACCTGCACAATAAAATGTGCAGCAAGTGCAACATAAGTATGAAAACAACGTGTACCCAATAAGTATCAAACATAATCTCAAAGAGGTAGAGACGAGATGGCCGACTTTGACACTCACTAATAGTCAATAATAATAAATGAAATAAAGATAGCAATATCTAGATCAACATGATTTATAGAATTTACAATAATTTTTTTTAACCAGCATAAATAATTAAATTCCTTCAATTCCAATAAATTTCTAATTTATCAATTAGCCTCATTTACAGGAATAACAATAATTTCCTTAACAAGCAGAGATAATTAATTCTTTCAATTCTAATAATTTCCAATTTATCAATTAAATTTCTTCAAATGCAATAATTCTCCATCTATTAATTAAATTCACATGCTGCAATTAAAATAGAAAAGTGTCAAGTAATTATTATTATTATTATTATTAGGCATGATTTCTTCCGAGATCGTACGACCCGATCCAGAGTGTCGTGTACACTGTCAATGGGCGTGCGGCGTGATCCATAGATGCATCTATCCTGCCGAGGCGTTCGGCTCGCTCCACAAGA